GGGGGGGGGAGGGTAATGGGGATCGAACTCATCATCTTGCGCTTGCAAGGCTGGTGGCGGCACCGAGCTAAATCCCCGGCCCTCATTGCTTTATTTTTAAAATGTACTCTCCCTGGCTACCCTCAATCCCACCCCCAGTGGCTGCCAGACTAGCAACTGAAAAGCCTGAGTTCTGGTCTCACTTTTCTAAAATTTTATCAATTAAAAATCTGCCTGTTTCCTGGCTTCTGTGGGTTAGCCTCCAGCCTTCCTATATGACACTAGTTTGTGATTTCTGAATCTCAGGTGGTCACAATAGTAACCTGTATATAGGACCTAAGAAAAGCCTAGGGGTGAAGAGTGAGTTTTACTAATTCATATTAAGTAGCTGCTCTGCCAGCAGTCACTTGCATCCGAGGTCTCTTTTAACTGCCTTTGGTATCAGTAGAAAAAGTGAAAACCACTAATTCTATTAGCAGCTGGGGGGGGGGTCACACAGTACAACTTTGCTACAAAGATTACATAAGTTCTGTATCACTATTACTGGACCACAGCCCAAGGGCTCCTGGAAGAACTTCCAGAATAATAACAAAACACTCCAGCACATACAAATTAGTGGTACATCAGTTCACAGACTTAATTCTTCCTAAGATTCTGGTTGCAAACTGAATTGGATGAGAATCAAATCAAATTTCCCTGTAAGGACAACACTGAACCTGATTTGGTTCTTGTCCAATTTGGACTGCAACCAGAAGAATCATGGAAAGAATTAAGTTCGTGAACCAAGGTACCACTGTATCTGCCACCTGAAGTGCATTCAATGTACAAATTTTCACATCACTTTTTGGAACAAAATGTTGGTTCTATGCATTCAAATCGGATTGAAGATACTAGCAAGTCACCAAAAACATCCATATGTACTCGAGTCACAGATGTGGAGAACAGCAGATTTTAATCCTCATGCAGACTGTCACATGCAGGGAAGTTTAATATGTGTAGCAAAAATAACATTTCAAAGAGAAACCCATTTTACATCAAACAATTATCTCCCTTTCTGCTTTTCCTTTCTGCCTCTCCTTTAGTACTCCCTCCACAAACTGCCTCCTCTTTTTGAAAAGGCAGAACTGGCTACCTTCCCCTCCTTCATACATCTAACCAAAACATAACTAAATTTGTCTACTTTTTTAAGGCCTACCCACTGATCTACCTTTCTCAATTTTCCTCACATATGAAAACCGAAAGATTTAAAGATTAATGCCAGTCCACTTCCTAGCTCAGGAAGGTTAAACACGAACCCTACAAGCTAACACCAAAGTCTAGGCCAGAATTCATGTCTTCCCTCTAGTCTGGGATCCTTCCACCATATATAGTCTGACTTTCTTCCTCTAAGATTGTCCTTCTTATCTGAATAGCTTGATTTTCTTTAAAAAAAAAAAAAAAAAAAAAAAAGTGGCCTCTCCACCAGAGAGCATCATGAGAAAAATAAAACTTAAATGAAGATCCTTGGAGGCAATTCCAGCTGTAGAAGAGAAAAAAAATCTAAAATTACTTTCAAATCTCCAGCCCATGGATTCAGTGCCTCATCAATTTTTTTTCCTTTAACACATTCCTGCCAGCTTGAACCAATGGTGGTAACAAGCATGACTGTCCCACTGGGTGGTTGTACCACTGGTGGTACAAACAAATCTAATCACCTATCAATTGATCTTTTTACAAATAAAATTAAAAGTCTATAAATGGAACAAATCTAATTAGTTGCTTGAATGTGAATAATTACTGCCCAAATATAAAAATTAATACTATTCATTCCAATTAAAATTTTAATAATCAACAAATTTACTTCATTAAATTTATTTATATTCATGAATAGTTTATCAATAATTCTCTAAATTTTAACATGGACATCTTACAAATACATTATTAATGTATATAATATGCATTTAGAACTGCTATACCATAAATTAGCTGTATTAAAATTTCTATACCATTTCAATATTTTCCTTAAGGAACTGTAACATGATATTTGGTCTGCTAATTCAACACCTTTCTTTGCATTATTGTAATCAAAGACTCTCTAAGAAGCAATACAAGCCTCCAGAAAAGACAATCATGCATGTACTGGTTCAAGCCAGTGGCAACAATCAAATTTAAATCAGAGCCACCTGGCAGTAAGACATAAAAATTATGGCCACATCATGAACATATTAACTTCATTCTCCTTTATCTTCTACCTGCCAGTAATTCTATCTCATTATAGTATGTATCCTATTACAAATTCCACCAAACTCGTGTTCAAACAATGCATCAAACACACTAAATGCTGTTAATCAAGTCTTCAAAAGTTACAAGCACCAAAACCCATGACCATCAATCCAAAACAGCAGAATAGCAGTTTAAAACTTAACAAACATGCACCCATGTTAAAGATCCACAGCACCGTCACATTCTGTCACATTACACAGATATCTAATATCATATTCTGGTATATTTACCTCTTCAATTCATTCTTGAAGTGTGCATGTGCATTATTTTGAAGCATAAAAACCACTACTTTTAAGTGACTGAAAAAGTAGTACTAACCTTGTGTACACATCTGAAGTAAAAATGGCAATACAAGTAAAAAAGCAAGTAGTAAATCTAAACCTAATATCTGTAGTAAACTGTGTAATATCATTAAATCATTTCATTTAAAAACCAATCAGAGCAGGACAAACTTTATAAAATAAAAACCAACATTCTCTACTGTTCACTTTGGACATACACGGTATTTCCTTTGGTACTTGTTTCAGAAGCTTCTGCTGGTACAAGAATGCTAGAAAAATTCCTCCTTCTCATGCTCAGGAAATAAAAATGGTTGTTGGATAGTGGAAAATGCAAGGAAATACTAAGGAAAGGTGTTCCCAGCTACTATACTTCCACACTTCATCCCAACAGGCACTGAAAGATCAGCCTGGAAACAGAAGTTTTAATGTCCTCTTAAACACTAATGTTGGGTTTATAATTGTTATTATTTAAAACTAGGCCTATAGTTTTTGAAGATCATTATTCCAATGCTTATGTATAAATTGTGAGGATTCATCTTCATCCCATAAACTGTTCTCATCAGAGCTTACTATTAGAACTTTGGTAATAGGGAAGGGACCCATGCAAAGATACATTGTTGATTTTCAAGGTGAACATCTGACACACAAAATCAATTTGTTCCAAGCACAGGTGCAGCAACCACCTAGGACTCTCATGCTACTTACTGGGATTTCAGAAGCGGTAGAGCAAGAAGCAGTCTATTGAATTGCACAACAAAAATTATTTTAAACTTTCATAAATTCCACTTGAACCCTTTTTTATAAATTATCTAAGTTTCAAGAAATACAGCTGTATATATGTTAAAATATAGTCTGGAAAAAAGAATGGGAGTCATTCATATCTTAAATTACTACAAATGAACTTCTGTACAGAGGATTTGAATATTGATATTCTTTATTCTGGGATTTGAATATTGATATTCAGTCAATGTGCGTAGATTAATGATGTTTACAGCTATCTAAATCTACAGACACATTTTACTCAATGTGTTGTGAAATTAAAACAAAATACATGATATCAGGTAGCTATTTAAAACTTGATGGCAAGTCATTTTCTAATGTGCTAAATGACGCAAAGTGGGTCATGCCATCACACAGATGGCACATTTGAGTTCTGATGGTTTAAATGTGTTAGATTTAGATATAATAACCTTTATCTGGGGGTCCTCAGAACCTCATGTATTTCATTGAACATGCTAAAGGAGAGGAGGGGAGGTCCTACTGATCTCGTGTATTTTTCCAAAATACTTCTCTGACAGAGGGAAGGAAGGAGAAAGTAAAGGGCAACATCAATACCAACTCTGGTCTCCATCCAGGACCTGATGTAGGAAGAGCCATTATTTTCTAGCGTAACTCAGATTTTAGGAACCTTCGTACTAAATGTATAGAGATTAATGTACTAGTATGGAGAAACATCAGTCTATTGTAATATGAAATGTTTATAATCACTGCAACACCAAAATACTGACGCACAATCTCTCCCTCTCCCACCCTGCCCACTCAGTGCAAAGCCATTATCTTGGGGTTTTTAAGTGGCACGTATGCTCCAAGCTTTAGAAGGTTATAAAGCTAGAAAAAACTTTTATGTGAGGAAATGGGTCAAAAATGAAGAACAGAGGGGCGGGGGTTTAGCTCAGTGGTTCCGCAGCCTGCTTCGCAAGTGCAAGGTCTGGAGTTCGATCCCCAGTATCAAAAAAAAAAAAAAAGAAGAACAGAGATAAATTTCCTTAATCATTCTATCTCAATCACAATATGAGACCAACAACTTCAGTAAACAACCTACTTGTACAGATACTGTTGGAGAAAAATTATGACACAGACCTATTCACATAAAAATATACTGTTTTAATAAATGAACTTTAAATCCAAAAAAGAAAAAATGGTCTAATATCCATTTCAAATCCATATTAACTTCAATTCACTTAATTGGACACCATGATATCAGGAGACACACTGGATTCCGAAGACACAAA